TTTTCGTTTCATTGTTCTCCCCGCATCGAAATTCTTCTTCTCGAATTGTTTGGCTGCAATCAACTGATGGAAAAATCGAGTTGATTGTCCTCTATTATTTTCTTCAGGATCCATAGAGCTTCGTAATTAAAACTTGGTAGCAGGTAATTATGAGAATAAACTAAATCGGATATTAACAAAGAAAAAATCCACAAAATAAATAGGGGGAAAAATCAAAATAATAAAATCAATAAAAGACAATAAAAGACTCTGAAGGATAAAAACGAATAAAATCAATAAAATATAAATTTTAAGAATAGCAATAAAATGGAGGAAATATTTAATCTACTTTGCAGGGGCTTAATCAGTCACGAATTATTTAGACACCGCACTTTTAAATAAAAAAAAAACAAACAAAAAAAAATCTCTCTTTTTTTTATTAATTAATTAAACCGCGGGACTAAGTAATCTTGATGTTCGAAAATTTATGAGTATGTGATGTCCAAAACCTCTACATGATAGGTTTTGACACGATCATTCTATATTAATAAAGCCAAACTCCGTGAGCCATAAGCTCAAAACTGCAACATCAGCAGCGCGCGAGACAAAACACCGTTGAACGCCCTGTTCATGGTCACGGATTGACGCCAACCGGACAATGAATCAGCAGCAAAAGAATCACGCGCTGCCAAAACCGCTGAAATGACAGTTTCTACCCCCCGTTAATAAAGAGTAGGAATATCACGCGATGATCTTCACCAATCAGGTGAGAGTTCTGCCACTCCCAAAAACCAACGCGCTCTGGAAAGAAGAGCGAGGAAGCCAGTTTGCAACCAACCGCAGAACGTTTGACTTGACTTGGTGGAAATCAATTGCGGAATTGATCAGATCATTTCGGACCTCCCATACTATCACGCGAAAATTAATCGGTATAGTGCGCGGTAAACTATTCGAAACAGTAATAGCCAAACGGTCGAAATTGAACAGGGACATGGAGTCCTTTAATCAAAAGTAGCAATATTTCTTGCATATTAAGAGGACTGGTCAAGCAGTGCTGTGTGTGTGAGCATTCTCAACCAAAAACAATAACTGAAAATCTGTGAAAATTAACATTAAGCAAGTGGATGAACGCGATGCGATAAGAAGTATCCATAAAAGAATCAAAGAAACTCCGATTCTGGTGGAGAAGGAAGATTGTATCCCCGAAGGATCCACAACTGGGAACTCAAGGAATAATTCTAAACAACATTAACCTTTGTGAGTTACAAGAAAATACTCTCCAAAATTCNGACACGAAAAGAGAATTTTCTTTTTGGGACCACAGGACCCAAGAAAACCGCCCTTACCTACTCTCTTCTTTACCTCACCTCTTCTTTACCAGGAAAAATTTCGAACCCGTCCCTACTTAACAAATTCAAAAGAAATCCAAACTAATCAGTTTCAAGTGTGTTACAGCTTCAGTACTTGAAACATCTATCACTCTAATTAATCATAATTTACTAACCACACTTCGTTCCTCAGGAAAATGTGGCAAATTATATTCCTATTAGGAATGATTTTATCAGCCTCTGGAAAATCAAGCCAGGAATATTTCGTGGAGGAAATTTCCCAACCATCCGGAATATACCTGGAGCGATTGGAAGACATCAAGGTGATTAAAGAAACCTGGTCAATCCATACTGGAGTAGAGATAAGTCAATTATATAAATTTTCAGAACCTTTAATGCCTACTCTTCAATTATATGCGAAATATTGTTTTGTTCACACAATAGAATGTTTAAATTATTTAAAACTGGCGCAATGGGAAATGTACGATCAGGAAATTGCACATCTTTGGAATATGACACTCAGTTATATTCGACCCTGGGGTACATCGAAAATTATAATACTATTCTTAAGAAAGACGAAAAAACTTATTATGACAAAGTCATACCCTCTAAAAGAGAAGAAGAATTAATTGTGTTTTCAGAACAAAGTTTTTATACAACATCTAGTCTAATAAATATCCTTGTAAAACTAGAAAAGTTACAAAACATTATAAATTTTGATGCTGTGCGTTTGCAAAACCATTATGATCACCAATATAAATATCATGTCGTCTTATCTAATCTAACTCAACATGTAGATACACTAATTGAACTCCGATTGAAATTATGTAATACTGTAAATCAAATCGTCAATAATGCGGAAAGCGGAATGGTTCATCCCATGACTTATGAACAGTTCAGATTGTCTGTAGTATTTAAATTCTTGGAAGTTAGAGATGAAAGCGAAATTCCAGTTCCTATCGGAAAGGTCAATTTGGCTCAACTTCAAGGAATCATTGAAACACGAACTGTCATAAGAAATCGAACTTTAATAATCACAACGAGGATTCTGCTCATCGAGAAAAAACCAAGAAAATTATATCAAATATATTCACATCCGGTTGTGCAAAATCTAGGAAATAATATTCAAGTTTTCGCTCAGATAAAACCAACCGCCAAGTATGTTGTATTGTTCAATAAAAATACACTGTATTATTTCCTCGATCAAAAACAATTAGATGAGTGTATACAAACAACACCATCAAAAATCTGTGAAAACCCGTTAATTATTTATTCAGTTCAATCGACATTAAACTGTGAAATGCAATTATTATTCTCTAAATATCTGGAGAATCCTCATATTAATTGTGACATAGTCCTTACGCCCGCAGTGAGGGACATTTGGACTCCACTAAATAGTCACGGAAGTTTACTTTACAGCCTCACTGAACCAACTCTCGGATATTTAACTTGCCCAAAATTCACCGAGATACTAAATCTTACCAGTAACGGTAAGATATCCTTGAGGCACAATTGCATTCTGGAAACCAGTAATTTAACTGTAGAAATGAATAACTACGTAAATTCAACTTCCGTGAATAATGATTTAATACCTTCACATTATCTGAATTTATCTGAAATATTTCCCGAGATCCACTTTTTCACAACCCAAAGGATTTGGGAGTATTCCTCCGAATTAAGAAACTTAGCTGCCATATCTCGGAAAATATTTCCCAATATTATTAAACAAGATAGAGAGGTTCCTCCAAAATATTCCATGAAAACGTGAATACCAATAATCAGTATTTCTCTCGGCTTGACAATAGCCCTATATATAATTTGTAGTTGTGTATTATGTATGGGGGCTCGAGAAACAATAGAAACTGAGGAAAATTCATCAGAGAATCATCCAGCAAGAGGGACATATGTACGTAACGATTCCCCTTGTCGAACCTCCGTGGCCCTTGTAACAGCTGAAAGTGCTTATTCAGATCCACCTCTTCCCAAGCCTGTAAATCCCTATATGGGAATACAATTCAAACAAACACAAAACGAAGCTGATATGTCTTTATAAAAATTATATCTATCACTCTCTTGTTTGTGGGTAAGCGTGTTAAAACAAGAGAAAGCTTCACAATACATTTTTGTCATTTCGTGTGATGAATTGGATAAAAAAAAAAAATAATAATAATAAACGATATGTGGATTTGAGTGATTTCATAATATAAAAAAAGTATAAGCAATTTATAACACTTAGTGTGACTATATATAATGTATTCCACAAACTATTATAATTACATCCTATAAACGTGTAAATTCCATGGTATGAAAACCGCAACCCTTATACCTAAACTATTCCATTTCCTTATGCTCAATTTTCACGGACCTGTTTGGTGAAAGCAAGGAGGACCTTGCTTATTCTTCATCCCCGGCGGTGTTACGTACGCTGTACGTATAAAGACCATTGGATAATGTTACATGCCCAGTACGAGAATTTTGATAATTCTATTATTGATCCTCACCGTTTAAGAGGTTTCGTGGGTGACTAAGCTGGACAATAACCATACAACGGAAGTGTGATGCTATGACTCAATTAAGGGAAAAACGCCTAAAAAAGACCATGGTACGACTTTTATCAGAGGATAGGATCGGAACGAAGGATAGTTTTCACGTGTCCCACGCCCATTAGGGGAAACAGATGGTTGACTATTCCCTTCACAAAATTTGGAAAAACTACGCAAGTCCAAACAGAAAATGAGGACACCTAATGTCACCTAATTGCCAATCAACGAGCTCCATGAAGGAATAGGAGAAACGTCACCACCAATCCCCGAATAATATCCAACGAAATCCAATAATTAGGCGGATACCTATAGAAGACAATGGTAAAAACAGGGGAAGCTTCGAGAACCTTCCACCCCTGATGACACACTGTCGATTCAATATAAAAAGGGAGCCGCGACGCGGAAAGGTCAGTTCGAACTTCGAAATTCCAAGGGAAGAATTAATACCCTGAAGCTCCAGCCAGAAGTCTCAAAAAGTCGTCATTCAACTCATATTCCCAGTACAAAAGTAGTGGTCCTTTTCATTACAACGAATCTACAGTCTGAAGGTCCAGCCTGGTGAAATAATACTCTATTATGTCACCACTCATCGAGATTGGCCATTCCTTCGGATCTCCAGTCTACTCAAGAGGATCAACTATCAACCTACGGTTCGCTAACCCCCGAGGACGTCTCTGCAGAGCCCAAGGATTCAACCACAGAGCATTCCTTCTGACACCCCTGCGTATTTTTATCAACCAATCGTAAGTGTCCATGTCCTTCATTATCCTATTTCTCTACTTTTCCATCTTCCTGTTTTTCCTCCGACGGTTTTCACCCCGGGTTTACGCGAAATTGAATCATCTTTAAACGAATAAAATATTTAATCGGTGTAGTTGGTCTCTTTCTCTTCCTTTACGTGTTACATTTTCGACGTATTTTAATACCACATCACGTTCCCGATAATATTTTGTTAAAGAGATAATTAAACTCCGGTTTGTCTCATCATCACAGTGACTTCCAGTCGTGACTGGTAACGGTCAGGTAAGAGTCAGCAGGTAGATTTTCTTTCCCTCTCGCTCTCACTCAAGATACGGTTGTCCATAACAGACGTACAGGCAGCAGGNGCAGACATATTCGCACGACGGCGTTTCACCCGCAAGCTAACGGCATGGTGGAACGTCTACATCGCCAAATCAAAGCAGCAATACGGTGTCACGAGAGTCCTCATTGGGTAGATACCCTCCCCACCGTGCTTTTTGGAATTCGTTCAGCGTGGAAAGACGATCTTAACGCCACATCTGCCGATATCGTATTTGGAGAGCCACTTCGATTACCAGGAGAATTTCTCGCTCCTGCTCCGAACAATGGCCTACCGGCAGTAACGATTGCCGACAGACTCAGAAACCACTTCGCTGAGCTCGCTCCAGTTCCCGGCACACGACACGGTCAACGTAAGGTATTCGTATTTAAAGAACTCACCTCATGTTCGCACGTTTTTGTTCGTTTAGATGCTGCTCATCATGTATGTACGCTACCGTACGAAGGACCACATCGTGTCATATCGCGACACGAGAAGCATTTTGTCGTCTGGATCAATGGTCAAGAAACTGTCGTATCCATTGACCGTCTGAAGCCAGTATTTTCCATTGCCGAAGACGAAGCAGCCGACGCTGACTTACCGGATGACGACAACGATTCAGATGACACTCTATTACCGTCGTCAGAACAATCGACCCCTGGTACGACACCAGATGCCTCACCGCAACCTGGACCATCTAGACGCAGATCATCATCTTGGGCTCCATCGAGTGACGCAAGATCATCTTTGGACTCAACTCCTCGACCAGTACGAAAACGCGTCAGGTTCAGTCAATAAAGTCACTCAATATTCAATTTTCTTTTTTAAATCACGTATACCATTTTTAGTGCCATTTTAACACGTATACATTGCCTATATTGTATATATTGTACATAGCTAACTCCCTTTTTTTCCGACACAGCAGGGGAGTATTGTAGCGAAGCTACTTATTTATTGTTCGAATTATTTCACTATATTGTATTCGCACCGGCTTAGCAGCCGAATACCTGACTACGTCACCTCGTGACGATTCGTCATATTTCGGGCACCCTCGATCGGATGATCTAATTGCCTATATCGTCGCGAGAGACAGATTCGTCATAGCTCTCAAGGTGTAAACATCGACACATTCGCTGTGAATAAATTCCATTCGATTTCTACCGTTATAACGCATGTTATAATTTCATCAACCCGTCGAACATTCCCGAATATCCCACAAAAAATAATTAATATTATTATTTGGCTCCAACCGCTTCACCCCCTTCCCCTTCAACTCTCTACACAAAAAAATATCGAAAATAATTAATATTATTATTTAGCTCTAACCCCTTCGTCCCCTCCACCGCCACTACTCTACACAAAATATATCAACAATAATCTATATTATTATTGGGCTTTAACGCCCTCCGCCCCTCTGCTCCTAAAAAGAAAAAAAATATCAAAAATAATTAATATTATTATTTGGCTTTAACCCCCTCCACCCGTCTTCGCCCAAAACGAAAAAAAAATATCAAAAATAATTAATATTATTTTTTGGCTTTAACCCCTTCGCCCTCCTGCCCCTCTGCAACAATAAAATACATCCAGAATTTCAATCACAATCATCACAATTATAATTTCCTCAATTATAATTTATAGTTATTTGAATGAGGCGGGCGACTGCCGCCGGTGGTAACTACGAGTGCCGCTAGCATCGACGGCAAGTGAAAACCCACCATTACTGGTAAAAGCTACTCGTATATTCAATTCACTATTATCTATGATACAAGTTGTCACTTAAGTTGGGTTGGTATTCCCGGGCTAAATTGATCGTACTTGTCTTAATGAGCGTGGAGGTGTGCTCCCTTCAGCTCCTGATCGTACTCTAACTCTAAAGGAGTCCAGAGGAACGTTCAACACCCGAAAATGCAGACCTAAGCAGTCCCACGGTTCCAGGGTACTAATACAGACAAATGTCATCATTGATATTGTCTAAATACAGTCAAACAGCTCCTCTTCCGAGAAGCTGGACTCACCTATCACCGTGGGAGTGCTGAGCCCTGCTTTTGGACGATGAGAAAGAAATCATATTTCTTTTCTCATCGTTGAAAACTCTAAATTCAATGTGTCGTATTATCAATAATACGTCACATCGTTTTGAACAGATAATCGACGTATTGAAGTCAATACGTCACATAATTAATATTATTATTTAGCTCTAACCCCTCCGTCCCAACCATCTGTTCCTAAAAAAAAAATCCAAAATAATTAATATTATTATTTGGATTCAACACCTTCGCCCCCTCACTCTACGCCACGCTGATCAAAAAAATTACTTTTCCTTACCTGCCCACCCCTCCCGCTCCATAAATCAATGCATTAATCAATTAATTCAATGATTTATTGATTGGTAAATACATTTTTTCATAAGACTTTAAAATTGTCTTTAACTTCACCCCTGAATTCATGCACATAACTTATATTACCAATGGGTCTTGAACCCCATGTAACTAAAATCACCTGAACCATCTGAAATTCAGATCTTTTCCATATCTTAAATTATCGGTCTTATTATTCAAGATATCACAGCTATCTTGCCACTCGCGAAAATACTTCATTTTTGTGAGATACGATCATTCAGATACGATATTTATCTAAATTAAAGATTTCTAATCCTACTTGCCCTCTGAATACTGAATTTCAGTGAAGTTTTTAGTGGGGACGTTTTGTAGTGTACAGCGTTTGACCGACGGCACCTAACCTCAACTCTGTGTTTCCCTTCCAACCCAGGCTGGGTTTGTGAAGATTACCCAGACTCCAACTCTGAGTATAAACCATCAGGGAGGGGCAGATTTTGTTATTTTCGCGCAGAAATGGAGCAGGCAAAGAGCCGATAATTTTGGGCCGCCCTGCCCCTATTTTCAATGAACTTTGAGGTCACCCCCTTCCCGAGCATTCGGACTCAATGTCGATTTTTCGGAAAAAAACAATATTTTTTATTCTTTCTCGCGCAGAAATAGAGCAGATAAATCGATCATTGATATCCTCCACTCATAGACACCATTCAAGTAGAACTGCCAGCTTTTCGGCCAATATTCACAAATGTTTTTATTCGCAAAAAAAAGATGCAGATTGTATTTCGTTTGCGCAGAAATGGAGCAGGTAAAAGGCAGGTTATGTGGGCATAGTCGCCATGTTAATCCAAGGATGGACCTTCCATTGGGCCAATTATCGATCTCATTTACGCCATTGGGTCAATTTCTCAAAACTGATTTTCCCCGGTGAAATAAAGGTGCCGATTTCTTCATGTTTACGCAGAAATAGAGCAGGTAAATAGCAGATAATTCCGCGCCAGCCTCCCCCCATTTTCAATGAACTTTGGGGTCACCCATTTCTGAGCTTTCCAGCCCAATTCAATTTTTTTTGGAAAAACTAAATACTTTCGACTTTTTTTCGCGCAGAAATGGAGCAGGTAAAGAGCAGATCATTCTGCGCTGCCCTCCCCCCATTTTCAATGAAATTTGGGGTCACCCACTTCTGAGCTTTCCAGCTGAATTTCAATTTTTTGGAAAAATCAATATTTTCTACTTTTATTCGCGCAGAAATGGAGCTGATAAATCGATCATTGATATTGTCCACTCATGGACCTCATTTACTCAAGGTGAACTGCCAGCTTTTCGGCCAATTTTGGAAAATCTTTTTTTTTCCGTAATAAAAAGAGCAGATTTTGTTTGTTTCGGGCAGAAATGGAGCAGGTAAAGGGAAGATAATTCCGCGCCGCCCTCGAGCAATTTTCAATGAACTTTGGGGTCGCTCACTTCGGAGCTTTCCAGCCCAATTTCAATTTTTTTGAAAAAACTAAATAGTTTCTACTTTTTTTTTGCGCAGAGATGGAGCAGGTAAAGAGCAGATAATTTCGCGCCGCCCTCCCCTCATTTTCAATGAACTTTGGGGTCACCCACTCCTGTGCTTTCCAGCCCAATTTCAATTTTTTGGAAAAAATCAATATTTTCTACTTTTATTCGCGCATAAATGGAGCTGATAAATCGATCATTGATATTGTCCACTCATGGACCTCATTTACTCAAGGTGACCTATCAGCTTTTCGGCCAATTTTGGAAAATCTTTTTTTTTTCGTAAAAAAAAGGAGCAGATTTTGTTTGTTTCGCGCAGAGATGCAGCAGGTAAAGAGCAGATAATTCCGCGCCGTCCTCCCCCCATTTAGAATGAACTTTGGTTTCACCCACTTCTGAGCTTTCCAGAATTTCAATTTTTTGTAAAAAATCAATATTTTCTACTTTTATTCGCGCAGAAATGGAGCTGGTAAATCGATCATTGATATTCCCCACTCATAGACCTCATTTACTCAAGGTGATCTGCAAGGTTTTCGGCTTATTTTCAAAAATACTTTTTTTTGCAAAAAAAGGAGCGGATTTTATTTTGTTTGCGCAGAAATGGAGCAGGTAAAGAGCAAATAATTTCGCACTGCCCTCCCTGTATTTTCAGTTAATTTTGGGGTCACCCACTTCTTAGCTTTCCAACTCCATTCCAATTTTTGGCGAAAAAATGAATATTTTCCACTTTTTTTCGCGCAGAAACGGAGCTTATAAATCGATCATTGATATTCTCTACTCATAGACCTCATTTACTGAACTGGACCTGCCAGCTTTTGAGCCAATTATAAAAAAAAAAAATTTCGCGAAACAAAGAGCAGCTTTTATTTCGTTTGCGCCGAAATAGCCATAGTCGCCATGCTGATCGAAGAATTGACTTTACGTTTGACCACTAATCGGTCTCATTCGCGCAATTTGGCCAATTTCTCAAAATTGAATTTTTCTGGGCAAAATAAAGGTGTAGATTTTTTTATGTTTACGCAGAAATGTAGCAGGTAAATAGCAGATAATTTCCCCCTGCCCTTCTTCGATTTTCACTCAACTTGAAGGTCACCCCCTTATGAGCTTTCCGACTCAATTTCGATTTTTTGTAAAAAATCAATATTTTCAATTTTTTTGTGCGCAGGAATGGAGCTGATAAATCGATTATCCAAATTTTCCACCCATGGACCTCATTAACGAAAGTTGGTAGCCTAGCTTGATGGCAAATTTTCAAAAATCTTTTTTTTTTCGCGAAAAAAAAGAGCAGATTTTTTTTGGTTTGCGCAGAAATAAAGCACGTAAAAAGCAGGTAATTTTGGTAAAATCGCTATGTTGATTTGAGGACCTTGGCTGCCCAAATTTATGGGGCTGGTTCTTACGTTGCTAGTCAAGTTCGAATCACTATTTTTCATAACAGTTTTTGGTTGTGAGTTTCTGTTCTTTTCTCGCACTTTCGCCACTAAGCTTGTGTATACTCATGCACTGAGATAAACTTCCACTCACTAGTGTAACAAGAGTTGATACAGAGTTTTAACAGTTTCAATTGAGCACGTCACCACTATTTAATAAATTGAATTTTTAATTTCGTCCCTTTATGCGCAAGAAAAGCTGCTGCTCTCGATTTTAGAGTGGTCAGTCCCCAGATTAGCACCAACGTTCACTTTTCTGACCAATTTCACACGAAAAGTCACCGTAAACGTAGTATCGATACTAATTTATCGAATTATTACCGGAGTTGAATACTATCCGATCGATTCCGCGAGCTATTTCCGCTGGGTCTTATATCTCCGAATTCTGGCTAACGACTTCTGTTCTTCGTGGCAGTTTTTGCCCCGTGGCAAAACCCCCGAAGTTCCAGAAAATTCTTCTATGTATTGATTGGGAAATAGCCGCAAAATCGGTCGCTGAACGTATTGAAATTTGCGGGAGCGATGCACTGTGTGC